GGGCGAGACCCAACACAGTGTCTAGACTGAGGAACTATTGTTCACATAACATAACAAGCACCCACTGGCTTGCCCAGGCCATGAGACATTAAAATGTGTTAACTACAGAGGCTACACTGCTCTGCCCTTATTCATTAACAGCCCAGTTACACTCCCTCCTGGAGTTTTGTACGCTTATGCTGATTTAACAGGACAGATCACTTCAGACTCTGTTCCCCCAATCACTAAAGCTTACAAAGACTATGTTTTGCATGTGTGTTTGTGTGCTTAATTTGTTTTACTTCCTCCAATAGACATCTCTTCATCTCCGTTTCTTTAGGAGTCTATATACAGCAAGACCGTTTTGTAACATCTCAAAGGTTTGTGCTTGCAATCCATGTTGTGCGGCTATATTAGGAACAGTTACAGCACAGCAGTGAGGCGAGTTTTAAATCATAGAATGTAAAACTAATGGGGCTAGGGGACAAACGTTCACATCCCATCCCAACTACAACAGTTGCTAAAAAAAAAAAAATAATAATAAAAATAAAAGAGACAACCAATAACCACACAACACTGGGATCTTTTTTTTTAATTATTTATTTTATTTATTTTTTTCCCAAACACTACTGTCTGCAGGAGCTCTTTCTATCCACTACAGTCCATTTCCCATTTGGAAAACAGGAAAACATAAGCATGGACTTTCCTCCCTTTTGACCTCCACCCCTCTCAGATGGAGAGCCACATTTCCTAGCTGCCCAAAGACAGCAGTTGATCCATTGTGTTGAACATTATAAATGCACAGGAGACAGTGCTCAGATTCATAGAATGATTTGGGCTGGAAGGGACCTTAAAGTTCATCCAGTTCCAAGCCTCCTGCCATAGGCAGGGACACGGCGGCTGGTTCTTCATCATTGCAGTCCTTTCCTTTGCCTTCTGGAGCCCAGGCCATGTGGCTGGAGCTCTTGTCTGTGAAGACTGAAGTAAAACAGTCATTAAGTACCTCAGCCTTCTCCCTATGCCTTGTGACCAGGTCTCCTATTTCCTCCTAGAGATAGCCCACACTTTCCCTACTCTTCCTCTTATCACCGATGTACCTATAGAACCCTTTCTTATTGCTCTTGATGTCCCTGGCCAAATTTAATTCTCAACAGGCTTTGGCTTAACCTGATCCCTGCCTGCTCAGACAATGTCTTTGCACCCCTCCCATGCTACCTGTCCTTGCTTCCACTGTCTGTATGCCTTCTTTGTCTGTTTAAGCTTGGTCAGGAGCTCTGTGTTCACCCATGCAGGTCCCCTGGCATTTTTGCCCAGAGACCTGAGCGTATTTGCTTGATGTTTTGATTCGTATTAAAGGCCTGGCCTTAATCCTTCATCTAGAGAGCGCTATCGTTTGCAACATCAGAGACTATGTCTGAAGCAGCCTGCATCCAGCAGAAGCTAGATTAGAAAAAGACACTGGCAACAGAAAGTGCAGGAAAAGATGGAAGATTCAGCCAGTCTGGTAACAGGCAGGGTAATTTCACCAATAACGTACTGCCATAGCCAACTTTTCTACTATGCAGACCCAGGGGGAGGGAAAGCCTGTTCCTGGTGAAGGCCATTGAGAAAGGGAGAGGATTTGCACAGAACATGTCAAGGTATTGCACTGCAGCAGGCCCTGAAGTGTGGAAGGACATGGGGACCAGGAAGATCTCCGGAGAGGTCAAAGCTCTCTTCCTCATGAACTGTTTTCCAATCGTCTACACTTCTCTACTCCGCAAGCACAATTATATCCCAGCACCTCCCATAGACAGACTTTACCTGAAACTCCTCTTACTGTGAAGAAATAACTCCAGTCTTTTCACCCCTTCTCACTACAAGTACCTGTTGTAAAGTCAGTTGAGCTTCACCATGGTACATGGATGGGACCCTTCACCTTCTCACTGCCAGGACCTACCCAGCCATTTATCCACCATATTCACTGAAAAGGGATAACAGCTTTGCTCTTACATCTGAAGAAAGAGAGAGGTGTTTTTTCCAGGCCACCACAGGTTCTGTTATAGTTGACAAATGGCGCCAATGTTTACAGGTGCTATTAGAATATCTGGTTTAAAAGGTTAGGACTTCACACCTTTACCCAGGCCACATGGCTTCCACGATACTCTCAACACAACCAGGAGCAGTACTTCATTGTCTGGCAGACAAGCACTGAGCGAGTGTGGCTGTGCATGAACAGATGGCCGTGAGTAGCCTTGACCAGACCAGAGACAGAACATCAGGGCCCTGAGCACATATTCTGTGTCTTCTGGGGACCTGGCCCACTGAGTTCGTCTCCACAGTCAGCAGAGACTGCTTCACATTTGCAAGTATTGTAAGAACGAATTTGGACAAGTATCTTCAGGGTGTAAAGCCTCTGATGTCTGAAATGCTAACTGGCAGGGCAACAAAGTTTTCTCACTTGCTAGTTTTATCCTTATTCGCATCAAGCGTATCTCCCTCCCTCCCTCCCTTCCTCGCCCCCAGCCCCAGTCAAGCCTGTTTTCCGCGTTGTTTTTTGACCCCCACCATTTGGAACAGCCACAGGTCATTGTTACGTCCTTCTTCCAGGCACCTACTTGGCCCTGACAGAGACTGAACTTCGCTCACTCCTAGAGCTCTTCCTGTCCAGTCTGCAGGCCACAATGCACTTGCAGAAGAACAAGTAGGCCAGTGGCATCTTGCTGGAGACAATGATCTTCAATCTGCAGGGCTTCCAAAGCAACAACAATTTGACAACTTAGAAGACTCATGACACTCTTTTCCCCAACATTACTTGTTTAATTGCCATTTCACCAGTACATTTTATGCTTTATATACATGTATCTTTAATCTTTGCTTCTTTAGCTTTTCAAATACATAATATATTATCTTCAGAATACTAACTAAGACAACACAGAAGAGGCTCCTAGTTAGTTTTTAATTGGTGCTATAAACTTCCTCAGTTTGGGGAACTGACGTGTAGTTGAAATGACAGGACCTGACAATATAAGAGAGAGAAAAAAAAAAAAAAAAAGCCAACCAGCAGAGTCCATGGCTTAGCTAGCAGACTATGGGCCACCCACAGATTCTGAGGAGACAGAGCTTAAGTACAATGAGACTGCAGGAGCAACTCTGAAGGTAGGGGGAAGCAGGGGGAACACCAAGAGAGCCAGGAGATCAGGATTAAATGACTACTTAAAATACATCCAAGAGCAGTCTGGTCCCCACTTCCACAAGTGGAACTGCAGCAGCTTTAGAGCCATTTTCAAGAAAAGTGTTGCTTCCCGGAGTGGATGGTCTAGGTGAAACTTAGTCCCCAAAATGCCCTCATTGTAGCAAGAAGACAAAACAGACAACAGAGCTTAGCAAGTGCAAGGTACATACAACGTACTACTCCTTTAAAATACGCATGAGGAAGTCTTAGTCCCAAAGGGCAAAATTTACTTGCACAGATGTGCTAGCAGAGAATATCCCAGTTTCAAAGTGTTGCTGCTGGCTGAGTGTTGAAAATGGGAAGAAGTTGTCTAGAGAAGTACTTTAATGCTAGGGTTCTAGTGACTAGGTACTATAAAATGGTCATTGAAACCATCTTCTTGACTAGTGTTTTGGCTTGTCAGCTAGCACAGAAGGCTGGTGAAGTTTCTAGCCTGCCCAAGGGCTTTGCCCAGGGTTATCAGCAGACTTACAAGCCAGATGACATCCACAGCTGCTGAAGTTGGAATAGTGTCCGCATCAAAGGGCCTTCAGAAACTCTCCCAAAAGGACAGGAGAAAGTAAGGGCCTTCTACCTCTAATTCTCTAAACCACATGGGAAGTAGAGGATTTTCAGGACATATTAAAAAATAAAAAATAAGCTTCCGAGTTACAGGGAACCAGCTCACATCCCTAGAAAGTTATTCCTAGAATAAAAGCCACAAGGAACCCAGGTGGGATAATTTGGCCATCACAGTTCTCAAGGTTGAGCCTCCTATATATTTCTTGCCCAAATGATATGGACAGCTGAAAAGGGAAGAGTGACTGTCCCTTCACTGGAGAATAACCCACTGTCTCACCACAGCTCTTACTGTGGCATGGATGCACAATACTTGTACACGTGCAGTCACACAAGTGCTGCTGGACAGATACAAGTCCAGGGCTTCAGGATAGCGATGCAGGAACATGAAACGCTGAACGGTGGGATTACCTGGATGTCATCTAGTGCAAGTAACTACGCTACCGAATTATAAAGACAGATTCTTTTTTCTTTTTAAAGCTATTTCCAGTTAAACAGCTCAATGGCTATGAGGCCTTTGCATGAAGGAACAGGGGAGAAGGGAGGAGTGAGAGAACTTTTTCCAGTGAACCTACAAGCCAAACAAGGAGTCTCGTGATGGGGAGCCCAGCTGCAGTTACAGCAAAGGGGCAGCAGATCTGCTCAAGGACTTGCATGACACCTCCCCTTAAGAGCACAGGAACATCCAGCACTATAAAGAATTGCACCAAAGAAAGGAATAGTAGTGCATGCACGGGGAGGTTCACTCCTCACCGCAGACATAATTAGTCTAACAGGATTTCATGTTGAGATTTAGGAGAAATATGACTTATCTCCTCACAGATTCCATTTACAAGCTCTAGCCATATGCTGCAGCCCTCAGCACTGTAGGCCAAGATGCAGTGACTTGAGCTGCTATTGAAAGTAACTGCAAAAAGCAACAGGAAAAAAAAGAAAAAAAAAAGACAAGAACCCAGAGGCACCTACCCAGCCTCCTCCTGTACCCACCTTCCTCAGGATTCTTGCTTTCCCTGTATGAAAAGATGGGGAAGAAGAGCTAGGATGTAGCATGCAACAGGCAAGTGGGTAGAAGAAATGAGGCTCCCCGTTCTCCTTGCCCGCCTTGTGAGGAGTCAGTATGTTCTCTTTAGGTTCAGTAGTTTCAATGTGGGGTCAAAAATAGTAAGTTTTGACTGAAGCGAAGACCTGGCTTAAAAAAAGGATTGTCCTGACTTGTTTCTGATTGAAGACTAGAGGGGTTTGTGCCCCCTGTGATTCCAACTGGTGCCTCTAGAGCCTCTTGGTCATCAGTTTGTTCCATTCCGCTGCTTTGACCATTCAGAACTGGACCCAGTTGGACTGCTGAGGAGCCTGATTAGGAACAGCACTGAAAGAAAGACAGGACAATCAGAAGGAGCAACTCTAATAGGACTTCTTAACTCACTGCTCTTCCAGCACCCATGAGGAAGCCACCTCTTCTGTGTGGAGTTCCCTTCACCAGAGTTTACCTGGATGCAGTGCTGAAGTCTCCCCAGAGGTCTGCAGTAGCT